ATATTACTGCAAAATCGTCAACGGTTAATTGATGATAATTTAATTATGAAGCTCTCATAAAATGTTGATACGGATGGTTTAAGAAATGACGGAATTTCCAGAAAAACGTGTTTAAATTGTAGAAGCTAATTAAATTCACAGGACAGCTTCTTCAAACATTATCTTAATGTACAGAATCTATTTCTATGCTACAACAATAATTATTCGAATACTAATCGGTACTACCATCTTCTTCAAGGACAAGTTTTCGGCACTACTCCTCCCTGCCCATCTCCCTCTCGCGTCTTGTAAAATACAGCGTCCGTGTCACTTATCTCCTTAAATCAGATCTATCTTTCTTATTTTAATGCGCAGTCTTTCCGTATGGATTCGATTTTCTATTATCGAGGCAAATAACTCGTTAATTTTACGATTATACCCGTGCTAAATAATATTTTCAATGGAGCTTCAAATTGGTGGTGTAGCAAGCTGGACATAAACTTTACTTCCGAGAAATCAAATCATCCAAGATTCTCCCGTTGGCTTCGACATCGGCTAGGTTGAGATAACCCGCTGTGCTTAGCCCGTGAAAGGGCAATTGAGCGGCATCTATTTATAGTAGAACCCATGCCCTTACCTATCAGTTTCGAAGAAGGAACCAACCTTCCTTCGACCATTCGTTAAACGAAGTACTGTTGCACCTGTACGTGTGATCGGTGCATCGGTAAAAGGGACCGAAGGGACAGGATGGCCGTTGATTTGATGTTTTATTCTTAGCCTCCTTAATGCGCATTTTGATCGGATCTGCGAACGGTATAACGAGTGGTCTGGTCTACGACCAAAGTCTTAAGATTAAATTTCTTTTTATATTGACAATGACTTCAGGTTACTTCACTATATAAATATGAAGTCTCGCTGGTTAAATTTATACAATTTTTTCAAAACTAACTTTAGTTTATAAAAAGAAAAAAGCTTCCGTTATTGTAACGAATATTATCCCGAAGAGAATTATTTTTTAATTTTATTAATATTTTATTTTATTATTAATATTTCCGCAAATATAGTCAGTTATTGCATAAGTATGATCAAATTCATTACTATACGGTCGATAATAATATAGACTTATCTATATTATTGTTACTTTTATTATTATTCACACATTTATTTCACACATAGGACACATATGTATAATTTAAAATAATTATTATATTAATAAGTAATTCATAGAGAGTGATTCAATTACCATTAGAAATATAGTAATAAAAGTTACCTGCTCAAGCTACATAGTCTTTGGTCATTTACAACTAACAACATTATAACTTGCAACGACATACAAAAAGTACATACAAATTTATTTACACCGCATCGACTTCATATAACGTTCCCTTTCCACTTTCTCTTATTTCACATCCGATTTGCTTTAATTGCTCAGACTTTTTTTTATTCTTCTCTTTCTGCAGTTCTTAATATATATATATATATATATATATATATATATATATTGGAAATTGCAAAAATTAATAATATAATTGGAGTAGGGTATCATATCTGATATGGATAGTTAAAGAAGTAGTTACTGTAAAAGAAAGTAACAAATCCCTCATTCATATGTTGCATTTCTTGAACATGCATTAGCCTTTTTCTATCCTTTTCATTACTATCTTTTACGTGCAGATATGTCCATACTACTTATCGAAAAGCTTGATAACTATGTATATCTATTATAAATATCTATTATTATATATTTTTAATTATCCTATTATATGAATAAACTTAAATTACTTTATAGTTAATAGAAATAATTACAGTTTAATTTAGCATGTTAATCTTTATATTCTTTTGCATTTTATTATTAAAGATTTATTGAATTTTAAAAAATAATTCTTCAAATATTTGTCAAATTAAGTCTGAGATTAGAAATTGTTGTAAATTGAATAGGAAAAGAATTGTATTTACAAATTTTCCGAATAGATTTAACGACAAGAAACAAATGAAAAAATATATCGGATATCTCGCTAATTTAACCCGGAACATTATTCTCCAAGAATAAATAAATAAATACTTATATATAATGTAATATAATAATAATAATACACACTTTTTCTTTTTCTTTTTAACAGACCTAATGACATCTTTGTACACTTTTACGAATATTATTCGAATAATATTTGAATGATTATTTTTTATTTATTGAAGTAAACAAAATTCTGTTATTTTATATTAAAGTAGATTTTATATATTTTTTATATATATAAATTTTTATATATTTTATATATATATTTATTATTTTACGGTAGATAATAAGTTTTGCTTCAAGAATTAGAATTATTTTCTATGTGGAATTAGATACTAGAGAAAAAGATTGACTTCTTTAAATATTCGTATTCGTAATAACGATAATATAATTTCATTATAAATACAAAATTTATATGCAATTGGAATATATCTGAAACGTCAGTTTTCCATTGTGAATAATGTTTGTAGAAATAAATTCGTAGGGTATTTATGTTAGAAATTTGGATAAAATTAATTGAAACGTATATTTCATTTATTAATTGCATTTATCAAAATTAAACGAAGCATTGGATGGTTGTTAATAACTCGCCCCCCCCCCTCCTCGTTTACCAATTTACCATTTTATTATTGATTTATTATTTAATTTTATTATTAACGCTGTCTTTGAAATAATGTTACATTAGATTATTTGAAAATATGTTTGTGAATTATAATTGTATGGTGCAATTTTCAAACTAAAGTGTTATTTAGAGAATAATTGTATATAACAATTAAACGAGGAATATGAAGTGCCTAATTTAAATTATCCAGCAGCAATGGCATTTTCAATAAATGGAAAGCTGCAGAAAATGACTTGAACAGTAGGAAAGCGCAAAACCATGCCTTTCGTAGTTCTAACGACCTTGTAGTTATAAAACATCTGCGCTGCACGAGTAGGTCCCGCTCATCTGAAAATTGCATGCAGCTGTCCCAACGTCCAACCATTGAAAATCTTGAAACGTGTTCTTCACGACATTGACGTTTAGTCCCTCATTTTTACTTTTTCCTAAACAATTTCATAACGAGTCCTTCGCACGCGAACTTGGCGCTCATGAATATAAAATGCATTAAAACGCCATAGTTCGGTATACTTGAAGAAAGTATTCACTGCCTATTATGTACGCAGCCTTATAATTATTTGCATCATAAAACTTTCGATTCATTTTCTAATTATTCTAGACATATGATGTTATTTGAATATGCAACTTTAACAATAAACGAATGTTTACAAGCTTCGTTATAAGCGCTTATATTATGTTGTAAGATAAGTAAGAAAGAAGGTCGAGAGATATGAAGGAAAGGAAAAAAAAAAAAAAAAAAAAAAAAAAAAGAATATATTGATAAGCTCGATGCAGTTCGATTTTTATGCAGAATATTATTTATGTAAAATGCTTTATCAATCGCGCTCCGTATAGTTGATTTTATTTACAGAAATTTCATCAAATAAACGGGTATCTAGCTACTGATTGTTGTACATCTTTGATCTTTTAATCGTTGAAATACTTTGCGTAGAAATAAATGAATAAAATATAAAACTTGGAGCCTGATATACCGAATTAAATTGTATAAATTTTTACGGTAGAAAAAAATACCATTACGAACGAATTTACATTGCGCAGGCATTATTAGCATACAAATTAAAAGAAAAGTTAACGTAATAAATATTTATCGGGTGTAATTATAAAATGTGCCCCTTCGATAGAATAAATATTAAAATTACAACAAGTGATATAAAAGTTTATTATTAAGCAATGAAATGAAAATAAAGAAAAATTCATTACTCGAGTATTAATTTCTGAAAGTTTTTTCTATACATAGCATTGATATTTATTTTAGACGTTTCAGATTTTTATTTAAACAATGATGTCAAGCAGTAGAGATTCCTAAGTCAAAAACGTGGAAAAATTTAGCATAAGGTGGCAAAAATTGGTATAATAAATACTAAAACGACTTAATTAAAAATTCTTTTATTTCCTAAAATAGCCATACCATTGGCATCAATATTGGCGGCCATAAAATGATATGAAATTTATTAATAATATTAATAATAGTATACAAAAATCTCACGGCACAACTGTATATCCTTCTCTAATTGCATATATAATCTGATAACCTTTGAATTGAAACACGATAAGTAAATCTTGTAATCTTCGCTTCCTCCGTCTTAAATGGCCGTGGATATCAAACGTACCCAAATCTCCTCGAACCTACAACAAATACGCAGCTGCACCAGTGTTTGCCTCGATATTGTCGATGCTCGTCGTCTTGAAGCATGCGACAACGCCCCCGATGTGTTACGCAAATAAGCGCACAATATAAGCGTCTCTTTCTGATGTAATTGCAAACCATGTGTACCAGACATTTTAATTGCGATGCTCTTTTAAAATCTATTTACTCCGATTGAGATTAGTTATTTAATAAACGTTGCATTTTCATTAGACGTATTTATTATCGGCTCCGCGAGGACATTAATAATAATTTCTTTATGTAATTAACGAGATACGTGTATTTTTAGGCAACTATTAGGCTACAAACAATCACCGTGCATTACGTAATTTAAGCCTGACGCGTGTAAAACTTAACGACAATAATCGACGCTCAATAATATCTCAATATGGTTATTTAGTGCTTTGAAAATGAAAATGAAAAAAAAAAAAAAAAAAAAAAAAAAAAAAAAAATTAATTATATAATCTTAATAACCGCTTATTAGAATTAAATAATTAAAAGATTATCATTCACTGTGGCCTATAAATCATATAATTATTATTCTAGCTAAGGGGGGAAGCTGTCAATAGCAAAACTCTGCTATATAAAATAATTTTCTTAATTAAATTCTAAATTGATGTTGCAACATACAACTTGTGCCAATTTCGAAGTTCGTGAAGCAACTGAAAAAAGATTACACATATGAAACAAAGAACTGAAATTTAAAACTCTTGGCTTTGTATACAGGAATTGTACGTGGAACAATGGCGGCAGTGTCATCCCGTCTCCGACAATGAGGTCGCACGTGAACTGCGTAGACTTGAATCCAGCACATTTTCTTGCTACTACGTCTTCGGTACACTGCATCCTTGCTGTCTCCTTCAAAGTGCTATGGAAATTTTTCTCAGAAAGGGTCATGAAGTGGAGATGTCAGAGCCTATATCCAAGATTCATTAGTAGCTTAGGCTCACTCCTGCTAAGGAAACTCCATGAGAATTTCGCGTGCGTGTAGTAAGCAACTTTCAACTAGGTGATCTTCGTCGACGAAGTGTTCTGAAAATAATATATATATATATATATATATATATATATATTTTTTTTTTTTTTTTTTTTTTTTTTACAAATGATAAATCGAGCTCGCGCATTTTAACTCCTGCCTCGGCCATGTTAATTATTAAATTAATAAATGCTAAGGCTATAAGAGCTGTCTTGGATTTTTTATCGCGTTATAAGCGATCGAGTCCTTCATTCGTAATGTGCCAATGACCGATAAGAAATATTTTTACAAACTTTGCATTTATCTAAATAAGCAATATTCGAAGGCTAGTTTCATATATAACATATAGCATGTAAGATGGCAAGTATTTAATAAATTTTGTTTCGCTAACACAATCTTCATTTTATGCTTGATTAAT